GACAGGGCGGCCGAGATCGCCTTCCCACACTCCGAGTTTTCCAGCAACGCCAAGAGTACTGACCTCACGATTAACTGCGTTGCAAAGGGGGCCTCTTCACCTAGCCCAAAGACAAACAATGCATTTCCACAACAAAGAATACTCAGAGAGGCAAGGAAATGCCTTCCAGCAACTACTACACACCGTGCAGATAACAGTACAATAGCCGCTAGGTTCTTAAATCACGATTCCTCATCGGCGGCAGCAAACTCGGAGCGAGATTCCAAAATCCCTCATTGTCTTGAATTTGCCACGGATTTGCCCTCTTTACAGACTGATCCCGAGGAGGACGCTGCTTCTCCCGGGGCCGCGGCGGCGGCAGGGGGGGCGCAAAAAAAAAGCCGAGCTCCGGTGCGCTGAGGAGGGCAGCGAGGAGTTGCCATTCCCGCACAGCGTTAAAATCAAAATAGAGGACAGCAGCGCGAACGACGAATACGAGCCTGACCTTACAACACATAAGCTAAAGTGTGAGTGCAATGATACCAAGGATGAGTTTTACGGTGTGACTGAGAGTAATAACCAGGACGCTTTATTGACAGCCAAGGAAGATTCTGCATGCACTGAGAAAGAAACCACTTCCTTAAACCCGCTGACTCAGAGTCAGGTCCTCTCATGCACTTTAGGTACTCCAAAACCTGAGGATGGGGAGTATAAATTTGGAGCAAGGGTGAGAAAAAATTACAGGACACTGGTTTTGGGAAAGCGACCTGTACTGCAGACTCCTCCAGTCAAACCAAATCTGAAATCAGCTCGAAGCCCACGTCCTACAGGTAAACTCGAGACACACGAAGGAACACTGGATGATTTTACAGTTAACAATAGACGCAAAAGGGTAGCCAGCAATGTAGCATCAGCAGTGAAAAGGCCATTTAATTTCATGGCAAATTTTCCCTGTCCACCATCACTAATTATTGGCAATGACGGGGATTTGTTGCCAGCTTACTCCTTAAACACCACTAAGGATTCCCAACCACCTCACAAGGCCCATCCTGTATGGAAATGGCAGCTGGGCGGTTCTGCAATACCTCTTCCACCTAGCCACAAATTCAGGAAATTTAATTAATAAAATAGCTTGGAAAATATTTTCTTGAACCACCTTTAACTTTCTTACGTTTTTTAAACTCTGCAGGATGGTTTGTACAAGCCCATTAATGCTATACACGCTTTTGGAATTCTGTTCTATCGCTTTGTGAAGACAGAAACCGGATTACCATTTTCTTTACCGTTACAACAGTGATTTTTTGTTTTGTTTTGGGTTTTCTAATTTTTTGGTTCTCTTGCATTTGGGTTGGTTTTTTGTTTTGTTTTGTTTTTTTGGTTACATTCCACAGAGTACTTTCAGGCTAAAGACTCAAACTCAGTTATTATGGTAGAGCTGGAACACTTTACTGTTTAAATGCTAATAATGCACCAGTACCTCAATTCAACTGCTGCAAATAAATGTCAAAAGGTTGAATAATAAATATTAGAATGAGCCATTAAATTTATGCACTAGATTTCAAAAATGGAAGTCTAACTGTTAATTCAGTTAAAGTTTGTGAAGTTACATGGTTGCACAGTAAGGGTTCACTATAATTCAATGTGGCAGCAGCCTACTTTTCGGGAGCTTTGTTTTCAGGTGCAGGGGTGTCTTTTTCGAAGAGCAGTTGCACTCACTCATTTTTCTCTGGTTTGGAAAGGCTGGGGTCCGCCTGCGACCCCAGCACTGGGAAAAGCTGCCTTGTCTGAAACCAGTCAATAAATGCGGAATTCTATTTTTGATAAAAGGGTGTCTTTTTACTTGTACGGCCACTCTTTGCAGTTGGGAAGCCTTTTTGTTTCTCACCCAGAGGTCTTAAATAAGGTTACTGTTACTCACTAATGTCATACTTAAGTTGTGGTCCGAACATGCCCCTTACAAACTTGCAAAGCAACTAAAATATTTGCCTGGCTAGCAGCACAATTTATGGTCCAGCCCCTCACGCTGGCTGGAGGAAATAGCGAAGCAGTAAATACAACACAGAAAGTGAAACGAGAGGCCGTGAGTGGAAAGAGTACACAAAATGAGAAGACCGTGTTATTCATAGCTTTTTGGCACCGAAACTCAGGCGTTTCAACCGTGTTACACTTCCCGGTTCTACCCTCATCTCTTGAAATTTGTTGTCGTGGTTTGTTTTTTTTTGCCATGCCATCCTCTCTATGTAGCAGAAACATTTCTACTGCACGTGACAATCAGAGGCAATTATCTATATTTGCACTTACTATCGAAATAGTCGAACGGGCAGACTTCTAGAGTCTAGCCATCGGTGAGACATGCTGGTATAATATATTGTGATGATGGAAGCAGTAAATCAAAATTATGGAAATTTGCACTGTTGAAAAGCATGCTTTAGCTTTATTTTCAATTAAAAACACTGTTTAAAAAAAGTTCCTGATTCCATACACTTTGAATTATTGCAGAGTTATCCGTGGTTTCCTCTCCGTTTGTAAGTTCACTGTTTTTATTTGGAGGAAATACGCTTCGAGAGGTTAACTGTTTCCCTCCCTCCTCCCCCCCAACCCCTCGAAAAGAAAGGGAAGGGGGAAAAAAAAGAGAGAGAGAGAGAAAGGCTGAAGGCCGAGGTGGAGGCAGAGCTGAGGACGGGGGAAGGTCTCTTTTGCGGGGGGAGGATGGGTACAGCAACTCCGAAAACAGCCTGAAAAGTTTGCAGCTTGAGAAAGGCAGTTATAATTGAGTTGCTGAATCAGCAGAGTTTAGGATGAATAATTGCTGGTTTCTTTCTTTGGATTAGCATTTTATTTATACTAGATCTTTCCCAAATTAAATTTTAAGGATTCCACTCATCGATCAATCCCGGGAGAATAATTTATCGTAAATCAAAAAAGGAAAACAAAGCAACAATGCAATGTTTACTGTGTGACTCAAAGTCAACATTTCTGATGGCAATCCACTGCCCAGGGTTTCAATTTTTTTAATTCCTGCCTTTTGTAATGCCTTCCCCCAGCCACTCGTGTCTCTAAATATTCCAAGCAGCCACTAACTGATTTCAGCTCTGTTTACTATATCCACACCGTAGTTTTCTTCCCATTGTAAAAGGCCCGGTCTAAGAATACCTGCAGCCATATATATTTAGAAAGAGTAAACAATCGTCTTTCAGTGGAGTTACCCTTCCCCCCTGCACGCACACACACGCACACGCGCGCACACACATCGCTTTAAACTGCCAGTTGCAAAAGGTGCACTGCATACTTAACTGCTCCGTTGAAATTACGATGGTCATGAAAAATCTGCTTACTGAAGTTGTTCTGAGATGAATGTTTACATTCGTGTGTTTAGAGCTGCACAGATTACAGCCTTATTTCCAGAGAACTGTAAATACGTACAAAATGTACCGCTCAGGAAAGCCCCCCGCTCTGTTAGAAAGCCGTGTCTGCTTCACAAAGGTCTTCCCTGACCCCCAAAAATTTAAAAATAAAAACTAAAAAATAGAACCTAACCCAAAAGCCACAAAGGTGCAATATGCAAACTTTAAACCTAAAATTTCGTCTTGTCAATTAAACAGCGTATCACTTTCAGAGTAACTCCGTCCCCTGACCCTGTTTACTTCCAATTAGAGATACGCTGATCTGGCCAGGAATTGTAAATTACAGAGGTGCCTTTTCAGGTTCCCAAAATAATCCGGGGACGGGGTGGTGGGGGTGGGGGGAAG